GTGATTCAATCATTGAAAGATTCTTGCAAAGAAAAAGATTTCATCGATACCGTCACAGCAGAGAATCAACCTGATGAAGATGATTCAAGCTCAGAAAGTGATGAAGAAAGTAAAGAAGGTCAAACGACGAAAATGTCGCAGAAGGAAACAGCAGCTCCCAAACCAACAAAAGCCTCTGGAAAAACACTCAAACCAAGCAAACCAAGCAAACCATCAACTGTTGATTGTGACAAAGACCATACAGTAACAGCAAAAGATGATAAGAATGTACAAGGTGTTTTGGTAGTGAAATCATGTCATGCTTCTCGTTTTGCTCGCAAACCAAGTCGATGTAACCATGTTGGCGATAAACTCGGTGCACTTCTTAAGAGCCGCCTAGACAAAGCAGGTATCAAAGGACAATATCCTGTGAATATTGTCAAGACAGCCGGTGACAAGACACAAACTGAATTTCATTATACAATACCATGTGACAAGTCACAACATCAAACAGTGATTCAATCATTGAAAGATTCTTGCAAGGAAAAAGATTTCATCGATACCGTCACAGCAGAGAATCAACCTGATGAAGATGATTCAAGCTCAGAAAGTGATGAAGAAAGTAAAGAAGGTCAAACGACGAAAATGTCACAGAAGGAAACGCTGCAGGGCAAAGTGACTGCTGCTACAAGTCAGCAACCGAGTAAGCTATCTCTCTTTTGTAACAGCGCTTGTCTTGTATTCGAAACTGGGTGTCGGACAGGTCGGTACCAGTTGGTATCTTGGAAACTCGCCTAATAGGCTTTTTGGTTCATAGGCACGAATATGATAGCATCGGGAAAGAAAATGTGGAGTTCAGGATGCTTCACTAATTGTCAACATAGTTTTATATACTTGCAACGATGTTAGGCGAGTTTCAGAGTTAGAGGCTATATGAATGTCAGAGAAGCTGAAGAACATGATGGTAAGTAGATGTAGAATATGAGTGAAAGTGTGAAATAGTCCAGAAAGAGAGATGTGATTGGGAGCATGTTGAAATCAGTGAAGACTCGTCGAATGTCATGTTAGCTGAAGTAAGTTTGGATGATTTAATGTGATTTTTGATAATTGTGCAGTAATCTTCAGCTGCTTTATATCTCGACAGAATTCTTCATCATCATGTTACTGATCGGAACTGAGAAATGACTAATCCTCGCAGAAAGAGTGACAGGGACTTCGATATGAGTATTTGTTGAAGCTACAACTAGAACTATAACTATACCAAGAAAAATTACGTAAAACCTCGTGACATTAACGATTATAATTATAAAATGAAAACGAGCTTTGACTTTATCATTAAACTGACGAAACAGTCAAAGTTCACATTTTTGCTGAAATGAAATCAAGGACAACGAAGTAGTTGCATTGGTTTTATGAAAACTTTTCTGTCAACTAAATGTATGAGGAAAATTTGAAAAAAAAGAAAATCATAAGACTTCATGAACGTTCTATAGCCGTTCGAGAACTTCGGTGGACATACAACATTTCATGCGACTTCACAACTGAAATCTCAGTTGTTTCGCCGTTCTCTGGAAAAAATAAAGGAGGTTTGCAGAACCTTTTAGGCCCCTAAAAGGTTCTGTGTTTTACCCGATAGCAGAACCGCTGAGAAAGGGTTCTGGACGAGAAAAAATAGTTCTGAAGTCCTCGTCGAAACCTTTTTTTCTCGACCAGAGCCATTTTTCAGGGGTTCTACTATCGGGTAAACGATAGAACCTTTTAGAGGTCTAAAAGGTTCTGCAAACCTCCTTAATTTTTTTCAAAGTAAGGTCTTCACAGTTGTTTTGATATGAACTAAATTTCTTTTACAGTTGCTATATTAGAAGAACTCTATTCTCAAGAAGGAACTAGTAACTAAACCAAAATTTTAAAGGAGAACGCATGTAAACAAAGGAAGGAAAAAAATCGTATTAAAATCGATGTTTGGACGAATAATCGCAAAATATCAATCGAAAGTACAAAAATCTGGATTAAATTCGATGTAACATTTGATTAAAATAGCTTTTACTTGGTAAAACTCGATTATCAGTGGAATCGGTTTTAATCAATTATCACTAAAATCGGTTAAAAATGGAGTTTGTGAGACTTATATAAGTTTTCGAAGAAAATAGTCAGTGTTAGTTTTAAATAAAGGTTGTGGCAGCTGCCCCCACTACGCCCCTGTAACCCCATCACTAGAGACACTTCATGATTACAGATAGCTTCCGCTACAGACCTTATCAACGGTCTTCCTCTCTATAACACATATTAGTAGCCTTCCTTCCCCATTACAGATGTGAACAACTAGCATTATACAATGGTGACATGTCAGAGTCTTATTTGCTAATTAATTCAATTGTTATAAGAATAAAAATTTAACACTAAGAAAAAAATGAAGAAAATGAAAATTAACCAGCGAATAGCAGCAGTGAAAAGGAAAAATAGAGCGCCCGTCGGTAAGCATGCCCTTCGCCGAAAGTCACGTCGCCGAAATACAGATTGCCGATATTCGGCGAAGTATGGTTTCGGCAATGTAGCAATCTTCAATCTATCACTTCGGCGATATGACTTCGACGATGTCCCTCTCTAAGATGTAGTTATCGACAGTGTTTTTTTTTTCGATGATGAGGTATACAAGCGTTAAGTCAAAGTGCCTAGGTTAAGTTAGGAATCAGATTAGAAACTAAGACAAACTGGCAGTCTATCTCAAAAATCCGGTGCCATTTATGATGTTTATTACATCGGTAAATAGCCGCTCTCTGCACCCACACCCATATCGAATGAGTGAACGAAAATAATAATAGTGGAAAGAATGTATCTGATAGAGATCATCGAAAAAAATTCGGCGATCTTTATTTCGATCATCTTTATATCGATGATCTTTATTCCGATGACAGCTATTTCGGCGATCTTTCTTTTCGGCAATGTTTGTTTCGGCGTCAGTTTCGGCGATGAGCATTACATTCCGTCCGTCAGAAAATGAAAAGAAAATTCTCAATTTCATGTTTTTGTAAGTATTTACTTTTAGTATAATTAAGCTAAAGGAAGTGTGAGTTCCATACCTTATCAGCAAAAGAGCTATACTGACAAATTTTTTTTGTAGAAACCGAAATAATCGATTAAAAATCAAATTCATTGTTACTAACGAGGAAACCCCACGAACTGATTAAAAGCTTTAAGTCTCATGTTTACGCCATAAGTAGTGCTTAGTGAGACTAGATAAGTCCTAAAAGGGTTTCCTTGAATGGGCCTATTTGGCTAAGATATGAACATTTCAAGTATAGGACCAAAAATGTAGATAGATTGCCTGTTGTGCATGAATTACAATACTAACATATATCAAGACAGAGTTTATTGTTGAAATGCTTATCGATAAATCGTGGAGCTGTTGAAAGAATTATGCTGTGATGTTTATTTGATGATCTAGCTGCTACATAAAAGAAGCACCAAGATTGTAGCAAAAGGTCATGCGTCGATCGTCTTTCATCACGTGTAGTGGGTGTCGAAAAGACCTATGTTTTGATCATTTTGTTGTTAGTTATTACATTCACTAAACTATTATGTATAAAGAACTAACAACTCGTGTTTCAGTTGTTCTAACGATTTCATTGTCTATTCTAGTTTTTCTATCCATTACACCAGCGAATAAAAGATTTTTATGCATGTCTACACCGCTCTCAGAATGATTTATGGGAAATGCGTAAAAGACTTTAATCTATAAGTATTTTGAAAAATAGATTTTTCTTTTGACACATGTTAGTATTGTAATTCATGCACAACAGGCAATCTATCTACATTTTCGATCTTAAACTTGAAATGTTCATATCTTAGCCAATTAAGCCCTATTAGATGTCCCTGTGCTTCTTTCTCTTAGTTCGATTTTATTTCGAATGATGACCCAAGATAGAGAGCATCGCGATGAGAGAGAAAACGAATAGAAGAATGTAAACAAAGAGAACGAAAACAGAACAGAGACAAGAAACGAATGCCAAGGACGAACAGAGAGAAAACGAACAGTAACAGCTGGAGCGATGTGAAGGTATGTGAACAACATGCCTGTAACATGCCCATTCAAGAAGATCCTTTTAGGATTCATCTAGTCTCATTAAGCGCTACTTATGGTGTAAACATGAGCTTTAAAGGTTTGAATCAGTTGGTAGGGTTCCCTCGTAAGTAAAATCAATTGTAATGAAACTTTTAACATTGAATTCAATCAAAATTGATACTTTTGATCGATTTTTCCTTTTTTGTGAAATATCGATATTAATCAGACTTTTAGGCTTTTTTTTGACATGGTTTATTCTTTCTAGGTCAAAAAACTTAGGTGAATAATTAGATTCAAATCGACTAGGAGTCATTTATAATCAAAAATAATCTAAAAACCATAGCTTCATCGATTATTCCTTTTTTCATCATGTTTCATGCAAAAAATCGTGAAAAAACTTATTAGGATCGACAAAAAGCTAAGAAAATTGATTAACGACTTTTGTCATTTATTCTAAACGAAAAAAGAATTGAAATCGAAATCTTTTATACAGTTTTTAATCCACTATAGTCAAAAATAATGAGAATAATCGATGATATTTAAGTTTTTTGTATTATTTTTGGTAATACTCTATTGTTAATCGAGTTTTCATTGACTAAAAATGTATGATTTTAATTGATTTTCAATAATTTCAATCTATTCTTATCTGATTATTCGTCCATTTTTTTTTACATAGGCTGTGGCCTATTCAGCACAGGGACGAACTTGTACTTACATGAGAAGTCAACCAAATGTATCCGTATCAATATACCACATAGTGTAAGCAAGAGCAGATTGTCTATTGCCTGTCTGTCTTTTGTTTAAATTATGAATTATAGAGATCAGGCGTTCATAGCCTAAATTGTGGACTAGAAATGATTCGAATCATGCATAATCGATTCTCCTCTTACCAGGGACGGCGCAACCGGAAGAGAGGAGCAGAGCGATAGGGAGGTCACTCTTCCTACTGCTTTGGAAAATTTTTCCTAGAGTTTTGCCCAAATTTGAAGTCGATTTTCTCCAATTCTTGAGGTCCTATGAACGGTAGTGACTATACGTAAACCTGGAAAAGATCGAAAAACTATTAACAGATGGAAACATCAAATTTTTGACTCTTTCTCCGATTTCTTGATTTACCACACTCCGACCCTTTCGCGATGTCTCTGTCTCTTACTTTCGTTATATTACAGAATAAAGCTATCTTTTACAAGGATATGAGTGAAGAGCGCGCCAATTATACCGTTGGGTTTCGAAAAGAAAAATGCTTATAAGACGAGTTCTACTCAAAAGATTTTGATAATTTTTTTCTTTTATTGGTCTAGAGACGATCATTCACTTCTGAAAAAATTAAGTTTCCATCTCTTTCAGTTTACGAGAAATCGTAGCAACAGTATCAAATATGTAGCTTTTAACGCCACCCTCAAGAAGAAGATCAATTTTTCTGTATTCCATTGCAATTTTTTTTCAATTATTTTGTTAGCTAGAATTGTGGAGCTCTTCAAGCGCTTTCAGAATATGTTATCACTTTTTGCTTCACACAAAGTTCTATAACTGAAAGGCTATCGACAATGCGCGTTAAGACACTTTTCATTTTTGTGTAGAGCGAGATTAAAATCATTGGCTTTCAATTTCAAGAAATTTGATTGGAACAAATCTTATCGAATATGAAAGAGAGAGAGGGGGAAAATAATTTGACAAGTAAAAGAAGTTCGTTTCATATGCTTTGCTAATACAAAATTTTTATACAAAGTTCAAAAAAAGCTATGTTCACACAATATGTAGAGCGAGATTTCAAATTTTGTTATTGCTATAACTCACCGAAAAGTAAATGATTTGCGACAAAAATTTGACCCTTTTTTTATCTCATAGAGTAGAGTAATATTCCGAAAAAATCAAACAAAAATCTTCCTCATTTTGAAAGAAAATTCAGTTTTATTAAGAAAGTGTAGAGCGAGATTTTTGTGGTAAAAAGTGTAGGGCAACGTGAAAGTCATCGAAATTTCAATTAAACAAATTTTATTTAAACAAACTTCATTGAGTATCAAGTGAAGTGCTAAGGGAAAAAAATTTTGACTCCTAAAATAATTTTACTAGCAAACTGTTTATGGGAGTAGTTTATACTCTAAGTTTATTGGAAAAATGGATGTAGCATATAGAAATTGGCTGTAATATCGTGAATCTTCACCACAGCACAGGGAAGTGTTGGGAAAATATTATTTTTATACATATTGGATATAGCTCTATTAAATACAGCACTTAACTTTCCTTTATCATTAAATTTATTTTTTTCGATTTTTTTCCCCAAACGGTACAATTGGAGCGCTCTTCACTCATATTTAATTTTAATCGACTAAGCATGTTTTCAATCGATTTTAAAGGTTTTCTGATATAATTGCGCCCTCTCTGCTTAAAAAGATTTATTATAATAGCTTCTAGATTATTTTATTTGGTGCGCTTTAGCTTAGTAGCAATTTCATAGTTCGTAAGCACGAGCAAGCGAAAAAACCTATCAAGTATCGAGGCTTCGAGTTCGACTCTCAAGAAAACCACTTAACTTCGATGTGCATGATTAGTATCGATTAACAACGGGAAAACAAATTAGAATCGATTATCAGTTAGTAATAGATTAAAATCGAACAAAAAATAAGAAAACATTAAAATCTAACAAAGAGGATGAATAGATTACAATTGATTCAAACGTACCCATGTAAAGAAAAGACCAGACAATTCTGATTTTAATCCATTTCCCTCGAATTGCTGATGCAT